ACAAAACAAAATATTACCAGGAAAAAAAAAAAAAAAAAAAAAAAAAACGAAAATATAACCCGAAAAAAAAATGGCCCATTGAGGTGTTGATATGCCGTAAAACCAAACAAACCAAACCAAACTGATTTGTTAGAAAGAATACATATTCTATTCATACGAACTTATCCTAAAAATGTTGTCGGCATAAAATAACCCATGGAGGTGTTGATATGCCGTAAAACAAAATAAACCAAACCAAACTGATTTCTTACAAAGAATACATATTCGATTCATATGAACCTATCTTAAAAATCTTTTGTGAATTAAATAACATATTGAGGTGTTGATATGGCGTGAAACAAATCAAACCAAACCAAACAAAAATAATTTATTAAAAGGTAAAAAAAGAAAATGACAAATATTTAGAAATAAAATAGACAAATAAATAATAATTATTATTATTACTAACAAATTTTACAAGCCAGCCGAACTGTGAAAATCAGCTCAAGAGATAACTAGAACTATCATATACAATGACCCATAAGATGTTGATTTGCCGTTAAAGAAATAAATCGATCAACCAATTATGTTGTTAAAAATGACACCATATTTGGCTGAGTCGTTTCTCTAAGATGAGAAGGCTTTAATACGTGAGTCTTTATATTTTTTCAACTTTTTATTACTTTACACCTTGCTTTCATGGAATCGTGCATTTCACCACACGACTTTGTAAACAGTCTGGAACGGTGGTCCATTGTCAGGACAAATACATTGCCAAGAAGTCCTGCCAGTGCAAGGGAGGTCATTATATACACAAATAATTGAAGTAAAATACATTCACCACACACAGACACACATATATCATCGAACTTTGGTCAGTACGTAAAAAACAATATCTCAATTTATAAAAATCAGGATGTGTGTCTGTGTGTGTAACGAATGCACGGCCGCAATTTTCGACGGATTTGCACCAAAATTTACATGCACATGCTCCAAGTTAGCGGGAAGGCCAAGACCGACTTTGCATTTCCCAACTCCCATCGATAGTGGAAATAATCGAGTTTTTCATGCTTCTACGGCAGTTTTCATGTAATTTGAGGCCATTTTCTACTGGCCAGAATGAGAGCCTATAGCTGGCTGTCACGAATAGGCAGGAAGATTCTATTGGCCAGCGTGAGAGCCAACAGTTGACTGACATGAATGTTAATTAACATGCTAGCATGCACAAAAATCGATAGCTGCATTCGTCACTGGTGGGAAAAATTTAAATCTGCATGGCACTTTACTCCAATTGGCTCATTCGCTTGCTTAAAATCAACGTTGATTCTGATTCTGCAGAACTGGGTTGGCTGTGAAAAAGTATTTGTTGTTAACATTCTTTTTTCATTCGGTTTTTCCAGTTACGAGTCCTTTTTTAAAGCTGATCGTTTTGTGTTCATTTTGTTTAGTTCTTTTTTCGTAACAGATTTAATGTTTAGTATAGAGCTTAGAAAAAATTTGCAGTGTGAGGTAGGCAAGAAGTAAGGCATGTAGCAACATCAGCACGGCAAAGGGCACTCCTTTAAAGGCAAGGAAGGGCAAAAATATTTTAAGTCAAGTGATAGCGATTGCTGTATGAGTCGTACGATTTTTGAATCAAGAACGGGCAACGCCGGGCCATGCTGCCAGTCATTGATATAAATGGGAAGAACCTATTAAGGACAGGTATAACATTTTGATAAAAGCTGGTTCAAACAGAATATTAATAGAAATGGGAAAGGGTTCTGTTATATGATTTGCGGTTCTAAAGTGTATCAGTTTTACAAACAAACAGGTAGATCAGAAAGAGATGAAGTCGGTCAGGTACCAAATTCATATTGAGTGAAAAAAAAATGGATCTGTAAAAAGTAGAAACAGACAAGTAATACAGATCAGAAGATCCTGGTATCGGGCAAGTATTAGAATTTGATCTTAGGTAGAAATATTTTAAAGGTCGTAGAAACAAAAAGAATCAAATATAGATCAGAAGATCTTGGTGTCGGGCAAGTATTAGAATTTGATCTTAGGTAGAAATATTTTAAAGGTCGTAGAAACAAAAAGAATCAAATATAGATCAGAAGATCCTGGTGTCGGGCAAGTATTAGAATTTGATCTTAGGTAGAAATATTTTAAAGGTCGTAGAAACAAAAAGAATCAAATATAGATCAGAAGATCCTGGGATCGGGCAAGTATTAGAATTTGATCTTAGGTAGAAATATTTTAAAGGTCGTAGAAACAAAAAGAATCAAATATAGATCAGAAGATCCTGGTGTCGGGCAAGTATTAGAATTTGATCTTAGGTAGAAAGATTTTAAAGGTCGTAGAAACAAAAAGAATCAAATATAGATCAGAAGATCCTGGTGTCGGGCAAGTATTAGAATTTGATCTTAGGTAGAAATATTTTAAAGGTCGTAGAAACAAAAGAATCAAAATATAGATCAGAAGATCCTGGGATCGGGCAAGTATTAGAATTTGATCTTAGGTAGAAATATTTTAAAGGTCGTAGAAACAAAAAGAATCAAATATAGATCAGAAGATCCTGGGTCGGGCAAGTATTAGAATTTGATCTTAGGTAGAAATATTTTTAAAGGTCGTAGAAACAAAAGAATCAAATATAGATCAGAAGATCCTGGTGTCGGGCAAGTATTAGAATTTGATCTTAGGTAGAAATATTTTAAAGGTCGTAGAAACAAAAAGAATCAAATATAGATCAGAAGATCCTGGCGTCGGGTAAGTATTAGAATTTGATCTTAGGTAGAAATATTTTAAAAATCGTAGAAACAAAAAGAATCAAATATAGATCAAAAGATCCTGGCGTCGGGTAAGTATTAGAATTTGATCTTAGGTAGAAATATTTTAAAAATCGTAGAAACAAAAAGAATCAAATATAGATCAGAAGATCCTGGCGTCGATTGAAAGTATTAGAATTTGATCTTAGGTAGAAATATTTAAAATCGTAGAAACAAAAGAATCAAATATAGATCAGAAGATCCTGGCGTCGGGTAAGTATTAGAATTTGATCTTGGTAGAAATATTTTAAAAATCGTAGAAACAAAAGAATCAAATATAGATCAGAAGATCCTGGCGTCGGGTAAGTATTAGAATTTGATCTTAGGTAGAAATATTTTTAAAAATCGTAGAAAAAAAAAAGAATCAAATATAGATCAGAAGATCCTGGCGTCGGGTAAGTATTAGAATTTGATCTTAGGTAGAAATATTTTAAAGATCGTAGAAACAAAAAGAATCAAATATAGATCAGAAGATCCTGGCGTCGGGTAAGTATTAGAACTTGATCTTAGGTAGAAATATTTTAAAGGTCGTAGAAACAAAAAGAATCAAATATAGATCAGAAGATCCTGGCGTCGGGTAAGTATTAGAATTTGATCTTAGGTAGAAATATTTTAAAGATCGTAGAAACAAAAAGAATCAAATATAGATCAGAAGATCCTGGGTTTCGGGCAAGTATTAGAATTTGATCTTAGGTAGAAATATTTTAAAGATCGTAGAAAGAAAAAGAATCAAATATAGATCAGAAGATCCTGGGTTTCGGGCAAGTATTAGAATTTGATCTTAGGTAGAAATATTTTAAAGATCGTAGAAACAAAAAGAATCAAATATAGATCAGAAGATCCTGGGTTTCGGGCAAGTATTAGAATTTTGATCTTAGGTAGAAATATTTTAAAGATCGTAGAAAAAAAAAGAATCAAATATAGATCAGAAGATCCTGGGTTTTCGGGCAAGTATTAGAATTTGATCTTAGGTAGAAATATTTTAAAGATCGTAGAAACAAAAAGAATCAAATATAGATCAGAAGATCCTGGGTTTCGGGCAAGTATTAGAATTTGATCTTAGGTAGAAATATTTTAAAGATCGTAGAAACAAAAAGAATCAAATATAGATCAGAAGATCCTGGGTTTCGGGCAAGTATTAGAATTTGATCTTAGGTAGAAATATTTTAAAGATCGTAGAAACAAAGAGAATATATTATACATCAGAAAAGGTGTTTGAATCTGATTTTAGGGCGGCATCTGTAAAGGACCTTGGAACAAACAGAATATGATATTGATCAGAAATAACCTCGGATCGGACAGCTACGACACTCTGATCTTAGGCAGAAAAGATTTTTAAACAAGCCTAATATCAACATATAGCAGACTCGTCTTACTACTGCTTTTCAGAATAATATATTTATCGAATGTTTACATCTGAACCCTTTCATTTCAATTTTCTACTAAGTAACCGTATCTATAGAAACATTTTCGCTGGGTTAATTCTCTTGATTGCTTTTAATTTTTCCGCTTTCCCGTTTCTCATCCTCATCAATTCATTCTTACTCTATCGACCCAGACGGCATTAATTCTTATATATTTGCAACATTGTCTTCCGCGTCATGTCGGCGTTTACACAGCGTGATGGCTGCTTCTATTAACTCATTCAGTTATCGATTGGTTCTATTCGCACGTCCCCGTTTCACACGAAGCTGACACGGACTCTATCCATGCACAGGTTCGCGTGCACAAATGCACGTACATGGTCAAGAAGCGACATACACACCGCTCCAGTCGTAGGCATGTGTAGTCGCGCGCGCGGGCAAAAAAAAGAAAAAAAGAAAAAAGACGCATACGTGATCACGTTAGTAAACACACATACACACACGCGCGTGCGAGAACATTCACGCACACACACACACATTTTCTTTATTCCTTCCTCACAGGATTCTTTGATTTCTTTAAAAAATTACAAATCTATTTTGATTCGTGCACGTACGCAAATACCTGATGTCTGTCTATCTATCTATCTATCTATCTTAGCCTGTTCCAATCTATGTATCTAGCTATCTGCCTCGGGGTTTTCATTATGTATCTATCTACCTATCTATCTATAAATTAATAAAAATGGAAAATTTATCTATGTATCTCTCCCCCCTCTCTCTCTCTCTATATATATATATATATATATATATATATATATATATATATATATATAATATATGTTATATATGTATGTCTTTTATAATATCTATCTATCTATCTATCTATCTATCTATCTATCTATCTATCTATCTATCTATCTATCTCGCTCTGTCTCTCCCTCTCTCTCTATATATATGTGTGTGTCTGTGTGTTATAGTTATTTTATAATATCTATCTATCTATCTATCTATCTATCTATCTATCTATATATATATATATATATATATATATATATATATATATGAATAAAGACAAAAGGCAAATTTGTCTTTTCCTCTGAGGGATTTTGTCAAAGCAAATGTTATCTATCTATCTATCTATCTATCTATCTATCTATCTATCTATCTATCTATCTATCTATCCTCTTTCTCTCTCTCCCTCTCTCTCTCACACACACACACTCTCTCTATATATATATATATTGTAATATAATACCTCTATTTATCTATGAAGAAACACAAAAGAAAAACTTAGACAACGTTTTTTTTCCACTGAGAGACTTTATCAAAGTAATCCCTCCTCTCTCTCTCTCTCTCTCTCTCTATCTATCTATCTATCTATCTATCTATCTATCTATATATATATACTCTATATATATATAGAGAGAGAGAGAGAGAGAGAGAGAGAGAGAGAGAGAGAGAGAGAGAGAGAGAGAGAGAGAGAGAGAAAGAGGAGAGAGAGAGAGAAAGAGAGAGAGGTGATTAGAGAATCGGTACTGTGGTGATTATAATTCGAGAGCAGAGTTCGAATTACAGTCGATTTCATTAAATTCACTTCCATGCTAATATAGTTGGGAAATTTATGACTCCATATCTTCGCCCCCCCCCCAGCTTTGGATAAATAGCAGGACAAGCTGGGTGTTATAGCCTTGGGTGGCGAACGGTCTAGGAGAAGGACGACTCTGAATTCAAAAAGGTGCGGAGGATCTTGCGGCATAGGGTGCATCAGTCTATTATATTCGGCTCTTCCATAGATTTTGGATGTTTCTGCACAAGGCTTCACCACCATAATAAATGCTATGAGCGGATACTCTGGTTGTTAGGTCTAAGAACTGGACCCTCGAAACACGACGTGAGAGTCCACTATCTATCTATCTATCTATCTATCTATCTATCTATCTATCTCACTCTTTTCGTTATCTATCTATCTACCTATCTATCTATCTCGGTCTTTTCATTTTCTATCTATCTATCTATCTATCTATCTATCTATCTATCTCGGTCTTTTCATTTTCTATCTATCTATCTATCTATCTATCTATCTATCTCGGTCTTTTCATTTTTCTATCTATCTATCTATCTATCTATCTATCTATCTATCTATCTATCTATCTCATTTCATTACCTATCAATATTCAGTAATGTTAATCTATCTATCTATGTCTTTTCATGTACTATCTATCTAACTAGCTAGCTCAGTCATTTCATTATCTATCTATCTATCTATCTATCTATCTATCTATCTATCTATCTATCTATCTATGTCTTTTCATTTTCTATCTGTCAATCTATCTACCTATCTGTCTGTTTGTCTGTCATTTCCTTATCTCTTTCATTGTTTTTCATTTCTCTCTCCTATATATATATATATATATATATATATATATATATGTGTGTGTGTGTGTGTGTGTGTGTGTGTGTGTGTATGTATGTATGTATATAAAGTAGCGCGAATTGTTAAAAAGTCTATTAAAATCCATTCTACTGACTCGATCGTGATAAAAATGGCAGTAAATATTCGTAAAGAAAAACTTTTTCTACCGCATTGTAATTTTGGAATGAAAAAATTTTCAAGCCTAGTTAAAGAACAAAACTGTTTACTAGAAAAGAACAAGATCTACTGTATGACACATACGTAACGCCATTTTATTTATTTCACTTATTTTTTAACAAGCGTATGTTGTGGTGTGTTTTGTACTCAGATACAAAGTCTTCCCAAATGCTTGGCTTGCATTTCTGAATCAATTTCTCTGCCAAAAGAGCCACTGTGGGAGGTGATACTTCACAGGTACTTGAAACACTTGACATTTAACAAGTTAGGTACCATCTGGCAACGGGGTGTTGATGTTAAGGGTCTACTGATGGTCCAGCCCCCACCCAATTTGTCCAAGTTTTGTATGGGAAATAATTAAAAATTAAAAAGTCCTTATACTGAAACTAAACCATTTATAAGAAGTCTTTGTCCGTTAACAGCGGTACGAGAAATGAAAAGCATTAAACCCTTTTTATATTGTATAAATTAGAACATATAAATAAAAGACGTCACACTGTCTGCGGTGAACTGCTCCGAACTTGACTCTCGACGCTTTTGCTCTCTCTTGGCTGTGCAGAAGTTACGAAACGAGATATCTCCGTATAGCCCTACAGTAGGTATACCTTTTAATAGTTGTGTATTTGTATAGCAGTCCTTCTTGGATACATGTTTCCTGGCAATGTTATTTTGTCCACAATGCGTCCCACTCGACTATCGCTCGTCCTGGGTATGATGATAAACTACACCGCGTCCTGGGTAAGACGATAAACTACGTCCAACAGCAAGGCCTCTGATAATACGTTTTGGAAAAAATAATGTTGCCAGCTGTACGTTTTTTAAAAAAAAACCTCTGATCAGGAGGTTTTGAGGAGTGTGGAACCACTTCTTAATTACTGGTGTTCCAAGGTCCACCCTGACCCGAGGTAGTAGCACCGGTTAGGGTCCCAGCCGTGGGCAATAGTTAACCACCAAAACCAGATCTCGTCCTGGGTATGACAATAAACTACATCAGCGTCCTGGGTATGACGATAAACTACATCCGCGTCCTGGGTATGACGATAAACTACGTCCAACCGCAAGGCCTGTGTTCAGGAGTTTTTGAGGAGCGTGGAATCATGTCTTCATTGATGGTGTTCCAAGGTCCACCCTGACCTGGTGTGGTAGCACCTGTTAGGGTCCCAGTTATTGGCAAATACTTAACACCCAAACACAGATCTTGTCCTGGGTATGACAATAAACTACATCCGTGTCCTGGGTTAGTGGATAAACTACGACCAAAAGCAAGACCTCTGATAATACGTTTTGGAAAAAATAATCTGGCCAACTATACGTTTTTGAAAGAATAGTGTTGCCGGGTAGACGTTTTTGAAAAATAGTGTTGCTAGCTATACGCTTTTGAAAAAATAATATTATCAGCTATACGTTTTGAAAAGAATAGTGATGCCGGCTAGACGTTTTTGAAAAAATAGTGTTGCTAGCTATACGTTTTTGAAAAAAATAATATTACCAATTATACTTTTTTGAGAAAAAATATTAGTAGAAATGGAATAGAGAAAAAAGAAAAATATTACCAGGAAAAAAGAAGTAGTCGGCATTAAATGATCCATTGAGGTTGATATACCGTAAAACAAAACAAAGCAAAGCAAATCAAACTCGATTACCGCGTGTCATTCTTTTTGGAAAAATCGCCAGCGGCAAGAAGCTAAGCGGAGGTCGAAGACGATGCTTCAAGGATCAGTTGAAGACATGTCTGGCACAGGCCAACAGCGTTCAAATCGGCCTTCCTGGTGTTGGACTTTCGACGTGCTTTAAGGAGGTTCAGATTTGCCCAGCCGAGTTCACCATCATCATCCCTATTTGTCTCAAGAATCTTCAGTAATAGACTGGTTCTTCCCAGTCGACGCCCAAAACGACGCCTCAAGTAGAAGACATGCTTGGAAACCCTTGCTGCCCTGAGCTGCGAGACGATGCTTCAAGGGTCAGTTGAAGATATCCTTGAGACAGGCCAACATCGACCGTGAGATCTTGCAAACACATGCTGTCCTGAGGTGCGAGACGATGCTTCACCGCGAACAGATGGGAGAAAGGCAACAAGGAGTGACGACGATCCCGATGTTTGGATGGGATCGAGTGCTGACTACTTTAATCACATCTCTCGGGCATCTCACTCCAGCATCGAGGCTACTATCGTTTGAGATCGACTCCGTTTGGCGGGTCAAGTGTCCAGAATATCTCCCACTCGACTCTTGCGTGTCATTCTGTTTTGAGTACCCGTCAGCGGCGAGAGGCTACGGCGACGCCCAAAACGACGCCTCAACGATCAGTTGAAGACATTCTTGAGACGGGCCAACATCGACCGTTCGACCTTGCAATCCCTGAGGTCCGAGACGATGCTTCAAGGATCAGTTGAAGACATCCCTGGTACTTGCAAATTGGTCTTTCTGTTGTTGCACCATCCGAGGTGGTTGTAGTGGTGGGAAATTTCGAGTCCAACTGTCAGCATGAACAGGATCTACGACGTGCTGTAAGGAGGTCCAGATTTGCCCAGCCACGTTCACCATCATCACCTCTCTGTCTCTTGCTCAGTTGAAGACATCCTTGAGAGAGGCCAACATCGACCGTGAGACCTGGGAATCGACTTCCCTGGTGTAGGACAATCCGGGGTGGGAATCGAGAATTTCCATTCCAACCGTCAACAAGAAGATGATTTGCGACGTGTGTCAGGAGAGCCCGACCCGTCACCCACGCTCCTATTTGACTACTGCTCACGAAGCTTCAGGAGCAGGCTGGGGCTTCATAGCCATTTCCGCAACAGAGGGGAGAAAGGGAATAAAAGAGAAAATCCTGATACTCGGATGCGAACAGGTTCAGACGTCGATACGTTGAAAAAAAAAAAAACATGGAGGCCGGAAATTTCAGGTTATCAGAATTAGCAGTGGCAGGTTGTTGTTGAAACAAGAGGTCTCACTTAGGGAAAAGTAGATACACCGTGGGATAGCCAGAAATTAAAAGTAAGTGAGGATGTAAATATATAAGCAAAACTATAACTTGCTGCTGAAGTTAAGTTATATTCAACTTCCTCCAACGATGCATTTCAAGGGGAAAAAAAACAACAGTAATCACACGCTTAACGTGAATCACGTTTTTATCTCGTTAATGTAGATTTTGTTGAAATAAGAATTCTTTCCCGATGACGTCGATTCCAAAACAGAAATTTGCCAAATTTCCAGACATACACAGACACACACATATATATTTTGAGACATTTTTATGTTTATACATTCTTTTTATGGATACAAATATTTAAGTAAATGCTCTGTTTATAAAGCAGAACTAATGCTTTTAATCTAATTATCTAATTAAATTTGAAGGTTTTAGCTTCGTTTTTTGAAACATGGTAATTCCTATGTAGCGAAGAAACCATATTTTAAATCAGTTAATTTATGATATTTAGCTCTGCAAATTTACATTGAACACTGTTTTGTAAATATAAATATATCAATAAGAACACCGGATTATATACCTTGCTGTTCTTTCTTTTTTTATTATATATATATATATATATATATATATATATATATATATATATATATATATATAGACGTGCTGTATTTAGTGGAAAGTGGTCAATATGCGTGATAGAGATGACACCGTATATGACAGAACTAACATGCATACGCTTATATCGATTTGTGTCTATGTATATGTGAGTATCAACAAACGCTCAAGAAAAAAATATTTTCCCTCCGCTACACACAAATAATGAAACACAAATAAAGCATAAATAGATCCACTTTAAAAAAATAATCCAGTTTGTTTGAAGATCGGAAAGCGTGAAACACTGGGTTACAAAATTATCCATTTATTATATATATATATATATATATATATATATATATATATATATATATATATATATATATATATATATATATATATTTTTGTAGAGTTTGTGACCCTGGGTTTCAGCTTTAGCGATCGTCAGAGTTTGTCTGACGATCGCAAAAGCGTGAAACCCAGGGTCACAAATTCACATCTATCCAACCAAATATGTTAGCTCTATCTCTGATATTGAGCGCTTAATAAGTAGTACCGCATATATAATATATAAATAATTATACATATATATATATTTATTTATATTTATATACACTTTTCACATTATATATATATATATATATATATATATATATATATATATATATATATATATATAAAACATTAGGCAGTATATATATATATATTAAAGAAATAATCACGCATTGCTGATTGTGATTCTATGCGTGATTATTTCTTTATAAATACATATATATATATATATATACATAGCCATGCATCGCATATATATATATATATATATATATATATATATATATATATATATATGTGTGTGTTTATTTATGTATGAAAGTCAGTTTCGCTGTATCACAGCTCATCAGTGTGGCTAGACATCCGATAGCTTCAAGCCGGGATCGAAACTCGACCGATATTTGGCATCAGTCAGAGACCACTGCAGAGAAAAGGAATCTTTTAACGTATTATATACGTGATGTATACAAAGCCAAATCATCAACCAGAGTGCTCAATTCATAACTGAAGAGCGATGCGTTATAAGATATATATATATATATATATATATATATATATATATATATATATATTATGTCTATTTATTTTTATATTAATCCTCTCCAGTTGTCTGATCAGTTTCTTGATATTAAGATGAAATTCATCAAGAAAGGTGCCGTAGTTTTTTTTCCTAGATAAGTACTTTCGACCTACCCCAAGATCATCCTCAGGGGTAAATTACAAAGACACACTTCATTTTTCGGATACATGTTCGACTGCACAACATCTAAAACACATTCCTGTTCTCCTTCACAACAGAAGAAAATTCTTATTGACAACACCATAATAGACCAGGAAAATTATAAACAAAATCTTCAAATTCTCGGAGCCGTCTATGTCAAAAACTCACCAACCGACACTCAACAAAATTTATTACGAGTTTAGCAGAAACTTATTGAAGTGCATATAAGAATCATTTAATGCCATTTTACAGTTCTAACTGTTTCCGACCAGCTGCCTTATATTGAATCGTTTGACTTACAAACAATTCCGTACCAGTTGCTTTCATACGAACATCGGTGATCCCCAAGGCTCTATCCTAGGCCCTACACTGTTTTTTTTTATCTGCATCAACGATCTTCCTGATGTCAGCAGTTACCAAGTAGGCATTTATGCAGACGACGCTACTATTTACTCGTGGCCGTTGGTTTCGAAAAGGACCGACAATCTGTGGTTCACTGGGGCAGGAAATGGCTTGTAAACTTTAATGACTCCAAAACAAAACAACTCTCATTTACTCACCATAGAGAACCCTCCCTTGTCCTATCAGCATCTCTGATGCTCAACTTCAGGAGAGCGTGTCTCTGCGACTGCTTGGTCTCACGTTTTCCACTGACCTGAGGTGGAACAACTACATTGAATCAATAGCTGCATCTATCGCAAGGAAAGTGGGTTCTCTGTGCCGCGCCAGGTTTTTTCTCGTTTGCGTTCATCCTCCACATCTACAAGTCAACCATATGTCCTTGCATAGAATACTGTTGCCATATATGGTCTGGTAAGCTTGAGGTTCATTTTGAGGTT